CCGTGCTCGGCCCCGCGGCCTCGGGAGGCGGGGAGGCCACGGAGCGTGGAGGAAAAAGCGGTGGAGAGCGTTTGCGTGCTGGCTGCTCCACGTGGAGCTCCTAAACGGGGGCTCTGCTGGCTTCCAGGCTAAGGATCAGCACAAATGGCTGCGGGAGGGAGGTGGGGAGAGCCGTGAAGATGGGGCCGGGCTGCTAAAGAAAGCTCGTTCCTCTCGATCTTTTGAGGTTTTGAGGTTTATTGGCTTGGGAGAGCTCCGGTAGACTGGATATTGAGGGCGGGAGGTTTGGGGGGAGTCTAATGCAGATCAAGTTGAGAAGGAGGGTGCTGGTCCCTGAAAATGTGTCTGCTATGATTGTTGTTTTTTTGGTTTTTTTTTTCTTCCCTGGCTGTATGGTTCATCGAAAGAAAAATGAGCCCCTTTCTGAAAAACTGGAGTCAGATGGAGGAGACTGTGGCGGGGGCCGGCAGCAGCTCAGGTGCTTTTACAGGGAAGGTGGAGAGGGGACAGAGCATCACAGCAGGGCTGAGAAGGGCTGGAGAGGGGACAGAGCATCACAGCAGGGATGAGAAGGGCTGGCAGAGCTGTCCTGTGTGTGACACTTCCCGACCACGTGCTGAGTTTCAGCATCTTCCCCTTGAAAACCCCGACCTGTAGCAGGGAATATAACCAGCGTGTTTCTCGTTTGTTGCCACACCGGCTGAGGGTCGGGGCATTTCTTTTGCGGTGCACAGGATGATGCTGCTGTACCGATGGTTTTATAAAAGAGGAATTCCCTGCCCTAATATTGCTCCGCAGAGAGATGTCCAGGATCCCCCTGGCAGAGTTTATTTGGGACGGGCTGTTGTGCCAGGTCACTGGGCTCACGTTAAACTTTGTAAAAGTCTGCAGTGCTGATTTATGAACTGGCAGATTGCAGCATGGCTTAGGCTAAAAATAGCCAGGAGGTATTGGGGAGGATATGAATGCGGAGCATGGCCCCACACCAATCCACTGTCTGTATCTCTTGCTGCAAGGCATGGCAGGGAGGGGTTTAGGCAGCCCTCAGGGATGTGGTGGTGGGCAGGAAGTAATTTTTATAGGGCGAAATCTATCTCTGAGTGCTTTGTGTCATAGATACATGTGGGATGGGATGTGACACAAACAAATGGAAAGCTATGGCTGCCTGGAAGCTGCTTAGCTCTGGCTCACTGCCTGCTCTCCAGGATCCCTGGACCAGCACCTGCTGGTGAGCAAAAGGATCTGAGAACTTCCAGGCCCTTCTCCTCCTTTGTAGGTGTGTTAGAAAACGCTCCTGCTCGGATTGTCCTTCCTCTGGGGCAGGTGATGCTGAGTCTGCTTTGCTCAGAAGCTATGAGGGAAAAGCAGCAGCTGGATGAGGCTCCCGGGATGGGCAGGGGTCAGTGACCACCAGTGACCGCCACCTTCCGCTTGGCGTGAGCGGCCGGAGCTGTGTGTGGTGGACGTGCCTTGGGGTGAGCAGCTCCCACCCGGGCTGGTGCATGGGCCAGGTGAGCACCAGGCAGCCTGAGGAGACACAGCCAAAGCGGGCGGCCACTGTCTGTTCACTGCTGGGGGCTCACAGCCCTCAGCCGTGGGCGGGCAGGCCCTTGGTGCCCCCTCAGCCCCGCACATGGCCCCGCCGCCATGTTAGCGCCTCCCTCCCTCCAGCAGGGGGCGGTG